GGACACCATCATAAATGCAGGCCAATTGTCAAGTATCCAGATTTTGATCATGTGACTATGGGGATGCTGCAATGGTTGTGTGAAAAATAAGTCACTTTTTCAGTGGCATTGTAACTTTGAACGGTCATTAAATGAATGGTTGTAAGTCGAGGACTATCTGTAGACATACAGGCTACAAACTCATAGGATGGAATGCCAACCTCCAAAAAAATCTTAATCAATATATGGAAAAACTAACATATCAGAAAGCATTTCCTCTTAGTATACATTTTTCCCTTTTTTGGTGCCGTAGTTCCAACTCATCAGGAGCATTCCGAACATAGGAGGTACTTAAATACTTCACAAAAAGTTAAGCCTCATAGCTGAAGAGATTTGTTAGTTTGCTTCTTAGAAAAAGCCTTCTGCTAGAAATCTAATTCTTTTGTGCAAGCTCCAATTCAATGAGGAAACCTTTAATTAACCTTTGTTTCTGATTCCATCAAAATCTGGAAACTATGATTACCACACTGGAGCCAAAACAGCATATTAAACCATACTTTTGGTAACCATAGTTACTAAAACAAGGGAGTAATCTCCTACTTTAGAAAAATTAAGTTAACTTTCTGGTTGGTAGACTCACAACAGGGATGCCAAAGATTTCAGTCCTCTTGATAAATCTTGCTCTAATTCTAGTACCCCACTGGGCAATGGCAAATGTTCAAAGAAATGTCTCAGAAATGAAAGAAAAGAGTAAGAGTCGTTGACCTTTTCATATTTCAATAAAACAAGATTTAACAAATGCACTGCCTTTTATTTAATTTCAATCTGACTTTTACATTATCTGTCAGGTGATTTGTGGTCTACCATATAATAGTATATGAGTAGGCCATTCATTAAAGTTACTGTCCTGTCACAGATTGCATGAACTAAGCATGAACACACATAACCCAACTGCTAGCAATTAAAGAATTCAGTGGGATTAAGAAACTGGCTATGCATATCCTTATTCTCATTCTGAGTAGGAATTCTTTTAAAAAGGAACATTCGGAATATAAAACCTGATTTATAACAACGGGAACTGCTAATTTTATTAGCAAGCAAAGTCAGGATTGCTAGCTCCCTCTATTCATTTGCTGGAAATGTATAGAAACTGTACAAATGATTTAGGATTCCAATAAAGTGGCAAACCTGTAGATGATTTTATTGTAGAAAGTAGTACTGTAGTCACTGTACACACACAAACACACACTGCTACCTTTTTCTTTCTAGGGGGCTACATTCAAATGTCACTAATTTAACTTTAAGCATCTTCCTAAATAAAATTCTAAATAACTGGCTAACATTGTATCCTAGAAGCAGGAGTGGGATTAAGCCGGTACACACTGGTTCGGGCGAACCGGTTGTTCGGGCAATCAGTTGGCCCCACCCACCAGCCCCTGCTCTATTCCGTTCTATATTTCCTTTGTTTGAAGCCCAGCTGATCGGCGCAGCAAAGTGGATTTCCTCGTTTCAGTTGTTTTACTGACCGGGGCTGCAGGAAAAGGTAAGATTTAGTACCGATTTTAATGCAATGTGCACACGTGCAAAGTGCGCGTGAAGCAAACCAGTTGTTACACCGGTTGAATCCCACCACTGCCTAGAAGTCTTCATGTTTGCTAAGTGACTCCATAAGCATACCAACTTATGTTAAATTAGAATAGAGATTAGATAGGTAACATTCCTATACCCACATTCAATGTAACCCCCCTGATTTTTAGGGTTTAGGAATTAGATTCACTATCTAACTTGATTAGGGCAAAATTGGACATAAGAACCCACACACCAAATCAAAGTTCTTATATGCATTGGTATGCCCCCCTTGCTCAACAAGCCTATTGTTAACAATAAACAAATTGCAAATTACAGGACAGAGATAAAAACCCCAAACTCAAACAACAAACAATGCTGTGTAATCTTGCACATTCCAAGAATCAGTAAATAGACTAAATGAATCCAGAAAATTTCCCGCCGACTTCAACTTTTGCTGTTACGCAAATAATAGATTAAAATACCTTTTGTACTTGGAATCCTACAAATTCCAGTGAAATTCATGAACCACAAAAACATAATTATTCTTAAATTTGAAAAGGTAAACTTGATCTGATGATAATATACAGTGGGCTTGCTGCTTATAAAGCTAAGAAATTACTTACACTTGTATGGTGAGAAATTGTGCCCCCAATATTAAGGTTCTTGAGAAGTTGTGGGGATCCTCCATATTGCCCTGAAATCTGTTTCCGTACTTCAGCTGCCACAGTTCTAGAACAAGAGAAGCGATGGTACTTAAAACTATAGAATTCATTACTTTCATCAAGGAAATAAAATATACAAACTTTACAGGAAAAAATAGCATATACAGTATATTAGAAAGTTGTAACAATATAGTGAAACCTTGAAACAACAGACTTTGCATGCAAGGAACCAAATTCCACCATTAGATTCATTATTTTACATAATTTCTCCATTGTGAAAATAACACCCTTTGTATAATGTCATTGCATCCATATCACATGACACCATCTGTATTATATTATTTATATGATGATGTAATTTTGCAAATATCTTTTATTGAATCATTACCCTAACAATATAAAGGATGTAAATAATATAAATTGTGTCACATTGGATAATGTCATTATACAAATGATATCAAATTGTAAGAGGGATATGCTCTTCAGTTTATTGACCTTTGTTACTAATGGGCACCCCAACCTGTAATTAGTCCATTAAAGCATTTAATTCTATTGATCCACAACTGGATCAACTAATCCAACATGCAGAACAAACTCTGTGGCATTGTTAAAGTTAGTGATGCTACAATCATAGACTCTAAACATTATATAAAAGTCAACTATTAGAAACAAAAGAAAGCTGATAAAATAATGACACTTAAAAGAGACCTATTCTAAAATTCTGCTTTTATATTTATAAAATTAGGGTTTCATTTCATAATAAATGAAAGAGTGGTCATATGTTATTTTAACTTACTTAACATGTATTTTTATCACTAATTTTGTATATACCACATAGTGATTAATACCTATAAAACTTACAACAGTGGCAATGGGTTTCATCTTACCCAGGGTAATATGAAACAAATCCTCCACATCTTCTCTTTGAATGTATGTGATTAATGGGATTAGTATATTATTCAAACTTTTGTATTAAAGGATCAGCAATTCAGCAGATATCCATTGTCACTAAGGCATGTGTTGAAGCCCAATCCACCTTAATGCTTCTAAGTTAGAGGGCCAAAATATTACATGAGTTCTAGGGTAAATTTGCCAAAATTTCTTGATTTTCATTCCAGCTAGTTCTAAGCTACAATATATTTATTTTTATTATTCCTTAGATTTTTTTATCCATTAGTTTTATAAATAACTCATGGTGGTGAACATACTTAATATTCCTGCCTCTAATTTCCCATAACAACTATCCTATGAGGTGGGTTAGGCTGAGGGAGAGTGACCCAGTCAGCTTTCATACCTAAGGTTGAATTAGAACTCACACAAATTGCCATTTTTTATTTCATGCAAATTTAACTACTGTAACTTAGTAACAACCTAAATAAGTTGGTTAGCATGCTACGATTTAAAAACTCTTGGTCGGTGTTATATATGAACCAGGACAAAGTCCTAAAATTCAATATGCAAATATAAATACAAAGTCATAAAGATAATTAAAATAGTGTTAAAAAAATAATGTACAATGCATCAGCCAAAAATTTAAGTAATGCATTTTAAAACTAATTCTTTTATATCTTAATAATCAATATTCAGAGCGCCAGAAGTGAGTAGCCTTTTCAGAGTCTAAAATCTCCTTTGAAAGGAGATTTTAAAGCCTTTAAAACAGGGGTTCCCAACTGAGAGTGCTCGCACTCCCTGGGGGTATGAGATGATATTCTAGGGCAGGGGTCAGCAACCCGTGGCTCTTTCATCCCTTTGCTGTGGCTCCCTATCGCTGGTTGGCTCCACAATTGATAGGGCTTTCTGTTAGGACAGGTAGAGGAAAAAGGATGTCACACTAAGAGGAAACTATGATGGGGGAACTGGACTTTCAGTCGGGTCCATAATTGAATGGGGGCTTCCAGTTAGGACATTTGTGGCCCTTTGAGTGTATAAGATTGCCGACCCCTGTTCTACAGGGTGCAAAAACTTGGGTTTAAAAGTTTCTAAATTATAGTGTAGTATGCATAATTACATGTATGAAATTATTTACTTTTGAAAGGGGTGTGAGAATATATCAGAAGCATTCTAGGGCTGCGGGGTAGAAAAAAGGTTGGGAATCCCTGCATTAAAACATGAAATTGGCAATACTTTTCATCATTGAAATAATCAAGCTAGGGAGAGGACAAATAGCTAGCAATGAAGATGACTAATTGCCAAGAATAATGAATTTAGAAGACAAACTATAAGAGGAAGAAATATATTCATAACCCTAGAACCGTGATGGTGAACCTATGGCACACGTGCCAGAAGTGGCACGCAGAGCCATTTCTCTGGCATGCGGACCCATCACCAGTTCCTCTTCTGGGTTCAGGCACAGCAGCCAGCTGGTCTTGACGCGCATTGGCATGCCAGAAAGCAGAAGTGGATCCACCCGGTGCGCACGCGCACGCTAGGAAAATGATCTTTTTGTTTCCAGGGTGCACATGCACATCAGCCATTTGGAGATCTGGTACCTGGCGCGCATGCACACACAAAAAACAGCAACAGGAGGAGCAACAGCCGCGTGTAGCAAAAGACGCGGAGAGGGGTTCCCGGCCATCGCTTCTTAGTAGAGCTGTGATCGGGACTTCCCTCCCTCCCCGCTTGAGCGGCCTTCTTGCATAGCCCCAGCCCTCCAGCCTATGGCTTATCTGTGGTCCTTGGGCGCCCCAGAAAAGCTGCAGCAGCCACAAGGTGAAAGGCAGGAGCGGCTGGCTGGCCCCTGAAGCCACTCCCACACCAGCCAAAAGCAGCACTGTGACAGCCGCCAGGGGTGAGGGGGCGGCAGCGGCAAGGACGGGCTTTCCTCCCTCCCCACCTGAGCGGGCTACTTGCACAGCTCCAGCCCATGGCTCTGATGAAGATCCATGGTCTGGAGTGCCTGGCTGGCTTGGGAGCCCCAGAAGAGCAGCAGTTGCAGCCACAGGGAGAAGGGCAGGAGCAACCAGGAAGTCACCGCAGCTGCTCCCATGTCAGCGAACCGGTCTATCGCAGGCCAAAAGGGAGGGGTCATGCGTGCATGCGCAAGGTGTGCATGCGCACATGCACAAGGGGGTCGCGCTCATAGCATTATCGGTATGACATGCCCATGTATGATCCCCTTGCACTCCCCCCGCTTTTGGCACGGGAGCCCAAAAAGATCGCCATCACTGCCCTAAAGCGTGATGTCTCCCCTTAAAACTGATTGACAGAAGATTCAAAAGATAAAAATACTTCCTCATACCACACAATATATACCCTTACAAACATCACTTCCACAAGAGAGGTTGATGGCTTTTAATTTACTGTCTATGGTATTAAGGGATGATTTTATAAATTACAGAGAACTGCTGTAGAATAGTTATGAGAATTAACTCAGAATCAGAAAATAGTAGTTCTAATCTCAGGTCTATGAATACATACAATCCCTGATTTACAACTGGTTGTTTAGCAATCATTCAAAGTTATGATGGAACCTATCCACCCCCGAGCTACTTACCATGCAGTTTCAAAGTTCTGATGGCCAATGACTACTTAACGACAGCTGCTAAAAATGTCATAAAACTCGGCACATTCACATAGTGGGCCGCTTAACAACCATCATGATTTAATTAGGCTGGGCTCAATTATGGTTGTAAGTCAAGGAGTACTTGAATAATATGTTCCGTTGGTTCAAATGTCAAACCAAGTCATGGTTTGTTAGTCATGAATTGTCAAATTAGCAAAAGTGGCTACGCTCACAAATAAAATAATTCTACAGTTCAAAAGGACTCCAACATTGAGCTCATTACATGATCTACTTCAGCATGTCCAAGAGATGATCACCATCATCTATCTCAGGCCTGCAAAATTGGCAGCCCGCAGGCCAGATGTGTCATGCGCATGCCACGCTCATGTCATGGCTCCGCAAAGGCAAAAAATGCCATGCTACGTCACATGAGCTAACAGTTCATACTGTCATACTGTCTTTAGATATTAATAATTCCTCCTGTTAACTAGCCTGAACCTACCGCTTTGTCATTTTAGTTCTGGCCTACTTTCTTTTCCATATGATAACCTTCAGATATTTAAAGACTGCTACCATAAATGTCTTTTATAGGCTAAATATATCAAGATCCTACTTCTTTTCAGGATTCAGTTTCTAGACACCTCATCATTTTGACAGCCCTTCTCTGAACCTGCTCCACCTTCACCATGACCCCTCTCAGTTCTAATGTCAAGAACAGGACCCAAGAAACCAAGTATGCTTTATTTAACATGAAGAATAATGGAAGTATTGCTTCTTGTATTCTGTAAATTCTGATTACAATGCTTCTGTAAATGCACAAAGGAAAAATAAAAACAAAAAAGGGAAGAGTTAGAATGGAATAAAGAAGTGGAGAATACGCATGGCTCAGTTGAATGATAAAGTGAACAGGAATATTCCAAAAGACTGCATTTAGTTCCAGTTTGCACTGAACCACACAATAATCAAGAGAATGTATGCTTACGTAACAACATAAAAATTTCTGAGGAACATTCCTTCAGGAGCTCAAAAAAGAAACCACCCATGTACAAGAAGGGCATACTAGCAGATTTCAGGGCAGCTCAACATTTGCAAAGTACAAAGCAAAAGCAAGCAAAACAAAAATGCTCTGGAAAAATGCTCTAGAAAAAAATGCTCTAAAGACGAAGTGGGATGGGATGAGAAAGGAATCTGGTTTGAGAAGGGGGAAAATAGCTGAGTCAGGAAATAGAAAAGTGTCTGTAACCCTCAAGGAGCCGCGTTGCAACATTTTGTTGCAGAATTCTACTTATTATTGAATGATGTTGAGAAAAAATGAGTTAAACTACAGGAATAAATATTTAAAAATATAAAAGAAAACTGGCCGACTCCTGAACTGTGAGGCCCAGAATTGATGGCAGTATTTCAAACAGTCTGACCAGAGAAAAGTAGAATGGAGTAATCATTTCTTACAATATTGACTTTGTGTTCCTCTTAATATACTCCCGAGATAGCCTTTTCTTTTTTAAACAGCTTAATTCCACTGCTAACTCATATTTAACTGAAATGGCTGAAAGGAAATTTAATCT